GGTTCAGCCACGATTGTGTAAATGCTGCTCCTTTCCAAGACAATCAGCCTGTGATTTCTGCCTGCCAGAGTCAGATATCCTGCAGAGCCTTCCTGGAGGGCAGGGGTTGGGGCTGGCTTACAGAATTCCTGTGCTCAGGGCTGGAGCTCAGTAAAATGTGAGGGTTGAATACAGGAGGAAAGACCGAAAGGAAGGGTAGTGATGGCGTCCCCTTTGGCGGAGAGGTCAGTGGCCCACGGTCCTCTCCAGACCCAGCCAGCATTTTCAGTGTCCTCCAGGGCAGCCCGGGACCTTTTCCTCCCAGCTGCAGAAGCCCTTCTCTGGTGAGAGAGCTGTTGGCCAAGTCGGCCCATCCAACAGGCAGATGCCAAAAGTGCCCAGTCCGCACTAGTCGATGGTGGTGACGTGCCCCTCCTGTCCCTGGGGGCTTCTGACAGTGGCTCTGGTAGTGAGCATTTCTCCCCAAGCCGACGATGGCCAGTGCCTTTCCACCTCCATCTGACTGGACTCCCTCAAACAGCTCTGTCCAGCCAACCACCCTGAGCTTGACCCTTCTAGAAAAAGTCTCCCCCAGCCTTCCTGGGAGAGCTGACAGGCCCCACTGTGCTCCCCCGCGGAGAGAACTAACTGACCTCCGACCAGCTGGACCTCCTCGGAGGGCCTGGGACAAACTGGTTCAGTTCTAGGCAAGTCCCCTTCCAGCTCGGCCTGCACTCCCTTCAGTTCACCTTTCCACCTCCCTGCAACCTGCCCCAAGGACAGTAATTCTTCAAAGCTTTTTGTGCGTGCACGTGCTCTGAACACCCATGATAAAACACCGAGCATTATGGAAATATGTGGCTATTTAAGGAACTAGAAATCTGTGGGGGTGGGGTGGGAGCAGAGTCCCCACGGACTGGGCTGGAACTCAGGCGCCACCATGGAAGGACCTTCAGGGAGCGTTTTCCCTGGCCGGCTTCCCGGCCTGTAAAACGAGGACAGTCCTTTCTGCCTCACTGAGCGGGCGTCGGGTTGAGCTAGGACTTGGACCGATCCTGGCACACGGTGGGCGCTCCAGGAGCCCTCGGTGAATACGCGCAGCTTCAGGAAAGGGTCTAGGAGCGGACACGTCGAATTCCAGAGAGTCTGGAGTTGTGCCAGGGAGGGGAGGCCTATTATGTCATATTTTAATATCTTTTTAAGCCAGGAGAATGAGTTCTTGTAGACCTCGTGTAATTAAAACTTAATGAAATGAAAGCACACCCCCGCACACACCCCTCTTTTGAACTCCGGAGCCGCCCGCAGGCCGGTGGCCCCTCGGGCAGCCGACGAGAA